CAAGGACAAACCATTCCCTGGATTCGTGGATATCGGTTGTGGCAACGGCCTCCTTGTTTACATCCTCATTCAAGAGGGTTATTCCGGCTGGGGCTTTGATGCAAGAGCCAGAAAGTCCTGGGCCAAGTACAACACCGTGCAGTCAGGGAAAGATTCCCTCCAGAGACTTGTGCTCCTTCCCGACGCCGTGTCGAGGCCTTCTGGCACCGATGGCGAGGAGTCTGTCATTGATCTCTCACAAACTCACAACGGCGCGTTTCCCAAGGGCACCTTCATCGTCTCGAACCACGCGGACGAGCTGACTCCATGGACCCCTATTTTGGCAACTCTCTCTGAGAGCCCCTTCATCATGATTCCCTGCTGCAGTCACACCTTGGGAGGCCAGAAACACCGTGCCCCATTACCGCGAGACAAGACCAAGTCGCAGTCGACTTATTCCTGTCTCGTGGACTGGGCGGCTTGCATCGCTGAAGACTGTGGCTGGGTCGTTGAGACTGAGATGCTCCGCATTCCGAGCACGAGGAACACGGCCATGCTGGGATGGAAGCGGACACGGGGTGTCGAAGAGGTTGATATCGACGGAGTGTTGGCCAAGTATGGCGGGACAGGAGGCTACTTTGAGAGCGCGGCGAAGTTGACGCAAACCGAAAAGGGGCATTAGGCGATATAGACGTAGAAGTGAAGTCAACCACAAAAGTGATACCCTTTGCAAAGACTAATTTGGATTTCTTCATTGAGTATGAACCATGGCGAAAGAGCTATTCTAGCATTCTTGGTATTTTTTATCCTCATCTGCCAGGAGTGAGCGTGGATTGTCTCGCAATCCATATTTTCTTCCTCTCGTGTCTACCAAATCAGATCAATCTGGCCAACTCCTGAATCCTCTTCCTCGCCGCCTCCCTGACCTCAACGACAACCTCACCCGCCGGCTTGATCTCGTTGATGAGCCCAACTCCGGCACCCGACCACTTACCAATCATCTTCTTCCCATCGTCCTCACTCCAACCGGTCTTCAACCTTTCCCGGCTTTCCTCGACTGTTGCCGTCTTACCTCCAAGCACATGGTACTCACGGTGAATGTCCCCAATAATCGCCCGACCGTCATACCCCGGCTTCCAAAGCTTGCTGTCTACCAACTTATCATGGAAGTCGTGCTTCCACGTACTCACGCCACCATCCTTCGTCTTCACAAGCAGCTCCTTGTGCAACTGCGCCGACATGGCCTCGTTCGTCGCAACAAACCGCGTGCCCATGACCACACCCTCAGCCCCCAGCGCATACGCCGCAGCAACACCCGCACCCTCCACGATACCACCCGCCGCAACAACCGCAACCTCCCTAGACGCGAACTCAGAGGCCAGCATCGCCTTGATCTCAGGAACCAACGCGACGACGCCGCACCCCCTCGAGAACTGGTGCCCGCCCGCGTCAACGCCCTGGGCGACGAGCACATCCGCCCCGTCAGCCGCCGCCTCGCGCGCCGCAGCCACGTTGCCGACCTGCACGAAGGCCTTGATGCCCGCCTCCCGCAGCGCGGGGATGATCTGCGCGTGCGGCTTCAGGTCCTCGTTCGGCGCGAACAGCCACGCGGCCGCGACGCGGTGGCGGGCGAGGACGGGCAGGACGTTGGCGGCGAAGAGGCCCGCCGTCTCGTGGGAGGTGATGAAGCCCGCGCCCAGCGGGAGAGGCTGCTGGTCGTCGGCGGTGGTGGAGAGCAGGGAGCGGGCCTGGGTGAGCGCGGCGTCCATGTCCTTCATCTGGGCGGAGGACTCGGAGAAGTCGAAGCCCGCGGCGATGAAACCTGTTGCTTGGTCAGTGATGTTTCTCGTTGGTGGGCACGCAAAAGACAATTGTCTTTGAAGGGAGGTTGACGATGTCGTTTCCACGGGTGTTTTTGTGAGAGTGTGTGTGTGTTTACTTACCGATCCCACCGGCCTTGTGGACCTCGGTCGCCAGAGATGCGCCGGCTGCCCCGAGCATGGGCGCGCTGATGATGACGGGCGCCTTGGCGTGGGGAAACCAGCTTCTCAGTTTGGAGGGTGCCATTTTTGCTTTTCCTGTTGTGCTTGCAGTTGCGGCGCTGAATCCGCAGGTCTGTGGTGATCCGGAGAGTGAGACACGACTATTTGGAAATCCCGTTGCTTTTGGGATATGTCTCGTTCGGCGGCGGTTGTTCACAATGGACGAAAGGGAGGAGTATGAACGGGTGGAGGGGAGGAGGTTGGGTAAGACACGCTTAGAAGAGGGTCGAGTCGCTATGGCTGCTGACGAGATGGCCGTGTTGAGGCTCCGCGGAGATGGTCGCATTGTAGCGGCAGAAGGTTGGTCAGCAAGGACCTCGGGTAGGTCAGATCTGGGTGCTTTTACGGCTTGCTGAGATGGGAATATGGGACGGACGCGGGGCCCTTTAACTGTCTCCGGTGGCGCGGGGTGGGGCGCCGGGATTAAACTGCCGCTGCGGCCCGCATGCCGCTGTTCCCGCCGGCTTCGTCATCAGGCCCACGGCATTGGTCATCTTCAAGTTGAGGGATGCAATCCTTCTCGATTCACCCGCTTGAACCTTGATCAAGATCTTTTTGCTTGGTAGGATGCATATGTAGGCCATCCTTCTGGCCATGGTTGAAAACAGGGTAGTGTAGCTGGAGCATTTCCCGACTTTGTTGGGAAGCTGTGCGGAGCACTTGAGTCCGCATATCTCCACATCAAACAAACTAGGTGACCACTCATGCATGGCCTGGGGAAGCTCTTCGAAGTGCTGGATGCTATCACTGGTTTGGGGATTATTTAATGTCAAAGCTCCCTAGCGCGCCAAAAGTCGATTTGGCTAGCCATTAGAAACAGTCGCAACACCTCACAATGCTGCTAGCTGAGTTACCAACTAACCCATGTTCAACCATTTTTATGAGAAACTCTAGTATGTCGCTTGCTCTGCTACACATAAGTCTTGTAGAGGAGCATGCTTTATCTCGGACAAGCATCAAGAAAACTTGCAATAAGTTGTAACTACCAACGGTGCAGACTCAGCTCCTGATGTCATGCTTGCCATCTCAGCGTGGTTGCCAACCAAGTTCTACTCGATATCATTTTCTGAATGAACGTAGTTGATGGAACTTCAATAAGCAGCTCTGCGGCATATACTAGCCACTGCTAGGACCACAGCCTCCAAACGCGACATCATAGGAGGGCGTCCCAACCAGCAAACAACACTTCCAAACTTGACAAGTGCAGTATCATGTCCAAGAAGGAATTGATCTCAAGACGAAAGTCGAAGGAGACGGGCTATGCCCTTATAACAAGACCAGGGGATCGTTTGATACCATTCATAGATGCTACAAGTTTGGCTGAGCTGAAGGTGGCTTATGCGTGAGGTGTTAACCTGTGACACATTTTTTCATGTCTCATTGATCGAAAAATCCACCGTCGCTGAATCTTATACGGTGGGCACCATGTGTGTTTGCGAGAGCGACTTTGTCAGTGACAAGTTGACAACCGGGGAACTCTTAAGGTTACGGGCCCCTGCACAGGAGCGACCGACGGCCCCTGAGGCGCAATATTTATACACTCTCTGTGGCATTTGCCTCAGTGAATCTATCCATGGTGACAGCGGCCGTCGGGTCGGTCAAGCCGTAGGTGCTGCTGGCATGACCCCTGTCCACAGGGGAGCCGCCAATGTCCACGCATAAGCATGCGACAAATCGGGTGTCTGAAACCTGGGGTGACAGCCTGCAGAGACTATTTACAGGGCGCCCAGGCTTCTAGCTTGTCTAATTGTGCATCAGGATATCTTTGGCGACTTCCGTTTCTATACGACAAAGAAAACAAACGGAAAATATGAGAATGCGGAAGTCTTCCCATACATCGCTCAAAAGCTCATCCGTTAGACCGCGTAAATACTCGGAAATTGCGGTCTGCAGCAGTTTGCACGTTGGAATAATCACTATGAGATTCAACTTCGAGAATTCGTTTGCCTGAGTCAAGCAGCCTCACCGACAACAGTATCTTTACGGGAGAAACACATGCCGATCATGTTCATTAATCTAACGAAAGCTGTACGACTCAGAGTCACTTATGCTCTTGTCTTCGGTTTTTGCCGGCAACGAGCGCATTTCCAATAAGCTTCATATTATGAACGTAGATCAGCTTAGAAAGTCTATCTCTTTGGGACGAACGAGTACAGGGATGAAGTTGATTGCCCAGAAGTCTTTGCGAGGCAACTTTCGCCCGCAAACCCTTCAGAGGCTCATAGCTCATCGCTCTCGCCGGCCAAGGAGGGAGCATTGAGGCAACTGCTCAACTCGCATCTTGCTAGTATATAATTCCCCGCATCGCGCCTTGGCTGGGCAGAAATCTAGACCTCACACTCAAGTCTTCAGCATCACATTCATTTACTTTCCAACTGCCTACTTTCTTTGACAACTTTCCAATCAAACAATTCAAAACATGTTCGGACTTAAGACCGTCGTTGCCCTCATGTTCGTCCAGCCACGATTACTCCAGTTCCCCCACCTCTGAGCGGCTCGACTAACACAACCTCAGGGGCCTCGCTTCCATTGTCGCCGCTGCCCCGGCCGAGGACAATCGCGTCCACGTCAAGCGTCAGGGTGATGACATCAAGAACTGCTACTGCGGCAGGGACACCGGCTCCGCGCTCGTCAGCGACCCCGACACCACCAAGGCTGCCTGTGCCGACTACGGCTCATACGGTAAGTTTGCTCGCAACCCCCCCACCCCCCCCCCCCTCGAGGCTTTGTGATCTTGGATGGCTAACCTTTGCCCGACAGCCGGCCCCTACCCCACCAGGTGCCAGATCATCATCGACATCAACGAGCCTCTGTACATTGACAAGTGCAAGGCTCTTGGCCAGCCCACTGGCTGGTGCGAGAAATAAAGCCTGTGAGGATTAGAATATCTGAATAGACTTGATACCTCAAAGTGTGATGAGTGCCTAGTATTGTGTATCTTTCCCATGTTTTGACTTAATAAATATTACCGTGACCCTATCACTCGCGACTATGAAGTCTGACATAACGATCGTTGGGGCGAAGTGAGGAACCCGCTTGTTGTCTCCCACGAGGCTGGTTCTCTAGCTCAACCCCGCCGCTTCCACCCTGGGCGTCTAGACAGCCTTCGCAGAACTTCATCTGAGGTCTGTTCGCCATTCTCGAGTCTGCGTTCCACTGCAGTAGCTTCCACGCTGCTTGAAGAAAGACCAGATCTGCAAGGACGATCGCCAGCAACATCACCCCTACGCTTTTCTGCTTGGGCACGGAGCAAAGGTATTGAGCTGCTATAGTGGCTTTCTCGCAGGATAAAGGACCCATGAGCGGCTGGACAGTCTTGTAGCTCTCCTTCAGGGGAACGGTGCCCCGGATGAGGGATTTGTCGGCGTCCGGCCTGGGCAGCATGGTGAATCGGTGGTTGTCCAGCCGATCTTCATCAGTGAAATTACCAAATATACCACCCGCAAGCCGATTGGAGTTATTTGGGTCCAAGATGGCATAGTTGAGGCCGTCTCCGTCTGCCAACAGGTTTGGCGAGTCACAGTTACCAAGGTCTAACGCAAATAGCGAACGCATGATTTTGGAGTAATGCAGGGCTTCCGTCAGTGTTGGCGATGCCCAGAACTGCCATACCGGTCAGTCTGTATGCAGTATTTCTTTTGGAACAGGAGCAACGTCAAGACAACATACATCAGAGTTGTAGGGGGTGGTGTCGTAGTCGAAGTCCGAATCCGAAGTTACCACCAAGCTATTCTCGAATTGGAACGACCAACGGAGATCAAACAACGCTTCGGATCGAAGGCTTTTCAAGTTTTTAGCGAGCTAGTCAGTCTCTGGAAGCGCAAGGATTACTTAGAAGCTCCAACTTACTCCGACCTGGACCGGTTACCATTGAAGATAAGTCTGGCCCGGTTGAGATATGTTTCACTCACAACTTCTACGCCGGGAATTTGTGAAGCAGCACTCAGTATACCAATGAAATAGGCGTTCGAAAGCCGAGTTCCACACCAAACGCTCGCGCGTGTTTTGTAATTGGAATTCATGACATAGTCGTATACGGGCTCGGTTTCTCCTTCATATTCAGCTTCCATAGTGACTTCAGCAAGTCCGACATCAGACACCACAGTACACTGCAACGTCGCTGCCGCTACTGTATTCTTGAATGACATCCACCAGGATGGCAATCTGGCCGGGTCGCTTTTCATCAACTTGATGAACATCTTACTAAAAAAAAACATCTCTCGAGCGTCGTGTTCTTATACCCAATTGACGAACGGATATCTGGGGACTCGGTGTCTCCTGTGGGAAGTTCTATGCTCTTCACCTTATACCGGAAACCGTGGTTGGAGGTGAAAAAAGAGTCGCCGACTGTTAGAAGATAGGGCTGACATTCAACATCCATGTCCCCTTGCCAATTGAAAGGTGGCTTGTTAAACCACCTGTTTGTGCATCTTATATCAGGTCATTTGAAATCTACAGCTCATATGGGACGCATCTTACCGCGCATTTGCTGCAGCTTCCGTACCATTGACATCCGTAGTGTAGAGAGGCTTCAAGTCAAATCCGTTCGATGTTAGGTTGACAAGCGAAAAGACCACAGTTAGGATGACACAGCCTGTAATTGCAACGGGTGTGAACCACTTGAAAGGATATGGGCGACTGATGGGATACTAAAAATAGGAGTAATGCATAGCTCTTTGCTTTGCAGTGGCACGAGGTTTTGGCGCAGGATCTAATTCGGACATCAACTTTCAGGTATACTTGTGATTCCAATGGTCCAGGAACAATCAAATTTTTTGGGAAGACCCTGCTTATATACTGCATATGCGCAGAGGTAATCGCTCCTAAAACAGACGGTTACACTCGACGGACGTCGTGCCGCTCGCTACTGAGACATACAACAAGATGTCTCTTCTTAAGAGCCAATAAAATAGCTAGTTTGTAGAAGAGGCGCCGCCCCTCGGTCGGCGAAGCCGATTTAGTCTCTTTGGAAAGTTAGTGGCCAAGTCAGGCTGTGAGTGACACAGGAACACAATATTTTGGGTAAGCTTATGCAGCATCAAACGAGATGGGAAAGGATTCGTTGGTGCTCTGCAAGACCCAATCTCAAATCTGTACGGCGGCAGACAGGTTCATCAATGAAGAGGCAGTTGGAAGTCAATGACATAGTGAAAAGCACTTGGAGTGACGGCCAACAAGATTACTCGTCAGCCGCCTTGACAAATTAATGTAAATGCATGTGGAAGATTGTGCCACTCCAAGACAACTGGGATCACTCATGCGGATAGTGTATCGCATGATCCCGGGCCTCTGGGTACGTGTACTGCGATCTTCTTGGACGAAGGACCGGCCGAAGTGCTCTTACTGTATTTACTTGCTGTGTGCCATCTTACAGGGTGGGGCCTATGATACATATTGTATCCCATTTGGCGGGTGTAGAAATAGATCACAAGAGACGCTTTTCGTGGCTCCGACAATGGTCGCATGTAGTGGTGTTGTTATAAGTCGGTGTAGATATCGCAAGGGGTGCTAAATACGGCGGTGAGATCGTACTGCCCTGACGATATTGTTTCGAGGTAATGAACTTGCGTAAGACAAAATCAAAACCACACGATGAAATCAGCAAACACATCCATCCGCAAAGAAGGGAGTATTGAACTCGCCATACATAGGCGAATTATTCTTGAAGTCTTCATGGTCATGTTCAATCACCAAACAGACGGAATTGAATAACGATGGCGAGGAGATATCTCTATATTTCCGGTCCAAAATCCAAACTCACGACTTTTGGTCACCTGAGCCATCACTGTTATCAGAAAAACCAACGAAAACGGTTTTGGTACCAAAAAACGTCGAAAAACTTCATTGTCTCGTAACATCTGAATATCAGAGTTCACCTACTCTCTAAGACTAGAATGACTTAATGTAACTTACAGCTCAAGTTGGAAGAGGCAAGCACCCCCGCGCCACGCTCACTGGTCTGGGAGTAGAAACCCACTTGCATCAAGTACATAAAAGAAATCTATTGCTGGTAACTTCCACTACGACAACGATCGTCGTCGTCAGGTCTGATTATCAGTTGGTAGGACAAGTTGAGGACCATCACCCGGCCATAGTTTGGGTTCGATTGCCATACGCTTCATGAACAACATCTGTTGATCTCCTTTCCGCATATAACTATCGCTGAAGCACGGTATTCAGCGACTTTCTTCGTATATTCGTTGACGAAATTGGCCAGGGGATATTTGACTGTGATGTTGTCGATCTTTGATTACCTGAACGTCGGGATATGCGGGCAATAGTTGGCGAGAAGTGCTGAACGAAAGTATGCAGGAGCAGGGATGGTGGTATGGAATACTTGATGCGCACCACATCCCATCATTTTCCTCCCGTCTTTCCACCAAGTAAGCTTTCAGCAGGAGCACTCCTGTCGAACAGAAGAGACGCGACAACATCCTGCCCGCGAGAAGAGTCATTGTTTCTGCTTTGATCAATGAATTTATATGACATACATTGGATCACTTACGCCCGTTTGTCTTGAGAACGACGATCGCGGCAAAGATGTGTAGATCTTCCGATGTCTGTGAGAGAGCCTCGCAACGTTTGGTCAATATGACGGAATATCAAAAAGAGAATTTTTTGTTATTCCCCAGCCATTCATCTGGAACAAGATTCGACTAGGATGGAAGAAACGAACACTTTTTTGGGTTCGATGGCTTTTCTGTATACACGATTGTACTCGGTGAGTGAACGGAGAAGACGACGATGGTAATAGTGAAAAGCAATTGTGGCAGCTCGATCCATCGATAAGACGTGTCATATGCAGTCTATTCTATCTTCATATGTACTTTCTCGTCCTCTTGAATCGTCTCACGAAGCAAAAATCTTCATCAGCCCCTCCATCGCCATATTACCACCACTAAAAACCAACCCCAAATCCCACCCCTTCTCCCCAGCCTCCTTCTCAACCATGCTCCTAAAATCCTCGTTAAACAGCGCAACCGCAAGCGGTACCGCACCGCTCGGCTCAACAACAAGCTTGAACCGCTCAAACACCAGCTTCACCGCCGCCTTGATCTCCTCCTCGCTCACGCTGAACATGTTCTCCACCAGCCTCCTCTCGTAGATCACGCCCCAGGGGAACTTGCCCACCGGCGTCCGCAGCCCGTCCGCGATGGTCAGCGTCTTGACGCTCTCGACTCTCTTGCCCGCCTCGAACCCGCGCTTGCAGTCGTCGGCGCCTTGGAACTCGGGCTCCGCGCCGAACACGCGGATCCCCGTGCCCTCGCAGCTGAGCGCCACGCCGGAGAGCATGCCGCCGCCGCCGCAGGGCGTCATGATGGCGTCGAGTCCCTTGCCTTCTGATGCAGAGGGCTGGCCGGTGGAGTTGAAGGTTGGGTTCTGCGCCGAGTGGCCCGCGGCGATGAGGTCGTGCACCTGCTCCTGCAGCTCGAGGCCGAGGGTGCCCTGGCCGAGCATGATGTCCGGGTGGTCGTAGGGAGGCACGAGGCGGGCGCCTGTCTCGGCGATGACGCGGTCGGCGACGGCCTCGCGCTCGACGGAGGTGCTGCCGCTGAAGATTACGTTGGCGCCGTAGCCGCGGGTGCCGGCGATCTTGTTGGCGGGGGAGATGTCCGGCATGACGATGTGGGCGGGGATGCCGGCCTCTTTCGCGGCCAGGGCGAGGGCTTGAGCGTGGTTTCCTGGGGCATTGTAAGTGTCCATCCTCGTCTGTGGAATCGAACGCTCGAAAATGAGACCGAGAGTATGAGGGGGTGATTATGTCTCACCAGAACTGTGCGTGACGACGCCCTTCTCCATGCCGCCATTCTCAACCCAGCCAGGCTCCTGCTTCAACCTCTCGACCGCGTGGAACGCCCCGCGGACCTTGAACGCGCCGATGCGTTGCAGGTTCTCGCACTTGAACCACAGCCTGAGGGTCGGCTTCGCGGGCGCGCGGCCCTCCCATCTCGTGCCCTTCAAGTCTTCGGGGGACCGCGGCGTCGAGGCGAGGGTGGTGAGCGTCTTATTTGTGAGGACGGGCGTGTAGTGCACGTGTGGCTTGACGAGCTTGTGTGCTTCCACCACAGAGGCGCGGTTCAGGGGCAGACATGTTGTGAGGTCTGCCATTTCGCCGGTGATGTGTAACGGTAAGTTGTGAGAGGGGTTTTGGTGAGACTTAGTTTCCCGGACGTTTTCCGGTGGCTGGGTTCAGGTTTCCTTGGTGAGTATTGATTCGCTGCTGGGCTTGTGTTGATATATCGTGTCAGTCAATGCGTCCAGGAGAGCCGACTCATTTAAAAGTGAGGAATCGACAGCATCAGTTCCAAGAGCATCGCAAGAGTGATGAGATGGCAGGATGAGTGTCCGATGCCGGCCGGGGTCGGGGAACGCGCGCGCCCTCCGGACGGGCCACACCCCCGCTCTGCCGATGACTCGCCCGCCGCTGCGTGCTTTAAAGGGCGCCGTTGCCTGGGATGACAATTAGGAAACTCACCACGAACAGATTAGCCGCGGGCAAAAGTTGAACCGCCGAATGGCATCATTGTCGTGAAGCCAATGATTTTCTTTCCCATGGCTGGAAATGGAAGGTCAAATGAATCTTCTGTGCGAAATTTGGTAATTCAACGGTGCGCTATCACGAATAAAGCGATTCGCGCTTTTGAGTAACCAATTGCATGTCAGCCATGCTGCAGTGTTCAAATAGAAGAAGGGTCTTCGGTAGAATGCGTATTCTCCCGCTCTGCTTCACAAATTCACGCATTCAAACAGTCTGTCAATTATTCTTGGCTGTCCTCTCCCTCTGGCTACCTTATCTGCAAGTTGCGCGTCTCCGAAGGCCGGCTACGACAAGTTACTGGGAGCAGCTCGCACTCATTGCACTAGCAACATTCAAAAACTGCTCAACTTAGATCAGTAGCTTTGCTATCCGCGTGGATCTGTTATCGCAAGTTGACTGCTCCGAGAGCCCATCAAAGCCTGAGCATGATCCTCGCCAAGATCTCTCTCATGAATGCTTCAACACAATAACCTCGATAGCCAATGGAACGAATACGGGCCTTTATAAAGCACAAGCTTTCTTCGCATATCACTCCCACCATAAGCGCACGATGCGATGTCAGGTTGGACATCTAAATGTATCAGCCATCCGATCCTGGCCGACCTGGCAATGCACCGGTCTAAAAGTTAATTTTCCAATACATTTTGTCGACGCCGGCATCTCTTTCCCACTCTTGTTTCCGGCGTATGCGTTGAATATGTAAAGTTGCGGTCGGAAATGAGGAGGACTTCCGGAAGATGAGCAGATGTTTCACTTCAACCTGCGTCATCGTTGATGACCATCTTGTAGAGTCAAGACAACGCTGATTCAACCACAACACGCGATTGCAAGCAGCCGGACATTGTTCATGCCCTTATGATACCGATGCAATGCAACAGACGGCTTAAGTACCACGGGTGTACTGGATGAGCTGCTCGAACGAGGCCTTGTACGTCTCAACTTGCTCGTGTCGCTGGAACCACGTACCTACCAGCCGCCTATGCAGAAAACTCATTTGAGATATAAAGGTGCGAAAGACTATCATTGACTTACCGCAGCAATGGCCTTTGACCATGTGTTCGTCGATTTGAAGTAAGGACTTGCGTATGACTAGGCCAAGGGTTGGTCTCAAGGGCCCAAACCCGACTTGCCGGGTGAAAAGTCAAGAAACCGCAAACTAGTCATTCCTGGCCTCTTGTCTCTTGTATGTATTTCGAGGAGAATATACGGCAAACAAGGAACGAGAGCAACGACCGAGGCCTAACATCTTCCACTCGATGGAGTGATTCCCGTGCTTTGAAAAGCAGGCACTTCATACGAGACTCCGCAAGACATCCAGAAGGCACCAGGCACATTTCTCACGGTACAAACAGCCGCAAAAATCCCGCCGCCCTGCTCATGAAGATCCCCAACACCACAAATATATACACCCGCCGATGATGTCTACCTTGGATGGCAACTCCTGATTCGACTTCACCGGAACCCAGAACGTGTCTCAGTACGTAGTCGAGCTGAAATACAGCCTGTTTTCAACCTTTAAAAGCAGTCATTCAATCCACGGTAACCGAACAAGCCAGAATTGTGCCGTGCCAATGTGACTGGATTATTCTGAACATCGGGAGAGTCTGTACCCCAAAAGACGTCAAGAAAGACAATCTTTGTGTCGTGTCCAGCCTCTGCTATGGTCGCAAACGCGGCGTTTCCAATGTATTCCTACAGAAACACCCAGGAAACACATCCAGGAAACACCAAAGCCAGGTACAGTCATCTCGCGACGAAGTAGTACACGAAGAAGTTTTCCAAAGGGCAGTCGGTTGAGGTACCACGCAACGACTTATTGAGAAGAAGAATACTTCGGCTTTTGCTTGATTTGCCTGCCCTCGCCGCACAAACCAAGATAGCAGATCTACCTATATATACCCAACCCCGAGAAGCTTGACGTCTTTGGACCCTTCCAGGTCGGCAACAAATTTGTCAGATAATTCAGGAATAGGCATCGCCTGAGCAATCGTGCCGTGGCATATTGAAAGCCATGCTGAGGCCATGCCAAGCGCTCTGTAACACCAACGTTACCATGGTATTCACGAGCTGCCCGCAAGGCGAACCCTCAACGACAGATGTGAACCTCGGACTCCATCATGTCTCTCATTCCGCAGGGCGAGATCCGCCGGCGAGTGATTCAGCACCCAGACGTATTCGTTGGCATTTACTCAGTCACCGACACCAATGATACACAGAGACAAGACAAACCGCACTGGTGGCTCAGAATGCCGCAAGTCATTTATGGAGCAAACATTCCTGCACCACTTTCAAACGGAACCATGAAGGCTTCTAGATAAGAAGAAAGATCGAGCTCCATTGCGTCGTACCGTCTTCTCAGCCACCAATCAACATTCACGTTTTTATGAACACCTACGCAGATGGCTAGACAACATATGAGAGCGAACAAGACTCTTACCGACATAACGTAACGTCGTTGAACCTCTTAACAGGCATTAGCAATGCCCGACTGAGGTCCGACGGAGCTCGCAGTCCCAGAGACTGCGGACATCACATGAGTACCTTACCCGCCGGCTGACCTCGCCACCGACACCGAGGGTGAGCAGTCCTCGGTGATTACACGCACCCCAGGCAAGGCAGGCAATTCACCGAGACCCCATATCTGCTTTTTTGCCACATACCGAGAGCGAGCACCAAGTTACCCATGACGTATACCTATTGCGGAGTAATAACCCGTATCCTGGAAACGAGATTTGAGGAATAGGCGTATATCAAGGCCGTCGACAAGCTGGCAGAACCAACTTCCCAGGTCAGGCATCAACTTAAGCTGCTAGTCCGTGGGAATCCCGGTGGATTGACAACATCATGTGTGGCGTAGAGCGGAATCACTCCGCCTTGGTCTTGCTCCCTCTTTGAGCAGAGCCGTCTTGAAGCAAGTGTCAAGCATCTCGCTGTTTCACACCTAACAGCTCGAATCTCGCCTGCCAACTGTGGTGTTTTGCGATAACGAGGATATTTGCCACACCCCCAACATCTAAGCAGGCTTCCGGAGTTCGTCGACCGATCGACAAACCTCTAGAATTGTTTCATGTTTCACAAGACGCCAGTGTAGATTTGTTCTTCCACCAAAAGTCGAGACCATCGACATAGCCAGGGAGCTTCGGGCCGGTGGTACGAGGTGTCGACACCCGCAAACCAACAAGACGAAAGAGTTTCAGCCGCCAATTGAGACCAGGAAGGGCTGACCAGTGATGCTCGGCGAAGCGATTCAACGGCGGATGCGTGAGCTCCGGTTACCAGTACCGACTTACATCAGAGTTTGGTCTGGTGGCTTGCCAATCCGTCTGATGTTGATAATGTTGTCCCCAATCCGCGCCCACTGGAATAAGCCCAAAGTCTCGCGGGAAGCTTTGAGACCGGAAAAGCGGCCAGCCCGTCATCTCGGGCCTTCTGCCCCAAGGAAGTCTAGCACAGTCCGTCGTCCAGCAGCGTCGCATCGCAGTGCAGCCCGCCGAGCTCGCCTTCGGCCCCGTTTGTTAAAGCCATGGGAGGCGGGGAAGACTCAAGGACCGGGGCGCCAAAGGGCCCAATTCGCCCATTGCGCACTGATGGTGTTTGCGCAACCGTTCATACCAATCATCAGATCTTGGCATCTGAGACGAACGGCAGCTCTCCCGCATATGCACGAGACATGCCGCTGCCCAAGCTCTTCGATCCCCAAAAGCTGTTCCACAAACTCGACGGGTCGAAAACTAAAAACAACATCCGCACATCGTTCAACCGAAGGTATTCCCCACGTGAGATGTTTCGTCTGAAGCAATCATGATTGCGAGTCTGCGACTGAAATTTCCTCCTTTACGTGGTGGCAGTATGCGAAATGAATGGAGCCCTCTCGGTTGGCGAAGAGATGAGGCTGCTTTGGGAAGCAATTGGAAATGACTGACCCCATCTTTCTGTGCGAAGCTCTGGTTCGGCTCGTATGACGCTCTTCGCGACGTGGTACTATTCTGATGAGTAATGGGGCTTTTACGGTAAAAATCCGGCGATGCGACGTTCTCAATCTCGTTGAGTTAGTCAAAGCCACGATTTTCCGGCGTGTGCTGGTGGCTTGATGCTATTCCTGGATATTTGGCCAAATGCCACAGTCTCATTGTGATAACGTTCAGCTTACCAAGATCCTGCAACGCGGTCATTCAAGTCTCCTGCCAAACATAGCTTTGAATGGGTTGGCCTGGCCATGCGGGACCTCGCATATCGAGCATGTCCTTTGCTGGAGCACAATTGCACGACATTTGTTTGCGGAAGATAGAATTTCCCGTGGACGCGTCGCTGTGCTCCTCAAACTGTCTTGCATATGCACAAGGGCCTGGTCGTCACAAGCGAACGTGATGAAGCTGCAGTCTCCGCTTAAGCAACGAGATGAGGGCCCGCCGCCGTCGGTGTAGCTGGCCGACGCCTTGAAGAAAGTTCGATGGCGTCGTCTCCTCCATCAGACCTAGAGGTGCTTCGACGACATCGGAACTGGCTCGGACCATCTCTGATATGACGCGAGGAAGGCGGGTGGCGTCTCGTCGTGACGAAGAGACGAAGAGGGAAAGTGCTAAGAAACGCGGGCCGAACGGTAGCATCTGCAATTAGTGCCATTGGACCATGGATCCAATTGAGCAAACGACCATGGTCTAGGCAATTTCACTGCAGGCACGGTGGCGCTTTGGTGTATATCTTGCCTTTGGCGCAGCCCATCACTAGCCATGGTGATGAGAGCTCGCCCGTCTGGCACGGTGCCGTATCCAGGAGCAGTTGTCTTCATCTGCCGGGATGATGTCGCGGATCATGCAGGTTGGTTCACAATCGTGAGGGAACATGAGGAATTGCGTAAACCAGCCCGCGGAAGGCATCCGGCCGGAGCGGCCTCTAGGTTGGAGGTGCGTTTGCTCTATTCGGAGCCTTGAGGTGAGGAAGCCGACTCCACTCTCCGCGATGGTTGCCTTCTCCTGCCCAGGCCGTCAGCAAGAAGCATGTTCCCTGCGCCAGGTTGTTGGACCTGAGAACCCTGAATTGAGTTGGGCGCCGGAAAACATTCCAAAACACCCGGGCCAACGCCAACAGCGCAAACTCGGACGGTTCGTACTAGCGCAGAGTCTCTGGCGCAGGGGAATTTCTTATTCCAAGCCCCATTCGTCTGGTTATGACAAGATCAGCGGACAATTCTGACAAAACGGCGTGAGCGGAGACAGCCTCAAGGCCGGTGCGGGATCGGTAGAGCTCCGATACTAGCGAGTTATCGAGGCTGTCATGAGAGACTGGGGGCCGTTATGGTTCGTGAGGGGACGGCCTGGGCGAAGGTTTGCCCAGTGCTGATAAAGGCACCAACAACCAGTGACGGCTTCTCTGATTAGTGCAAACAGGTTCAGGGGATCGAGCTCGAGATTGCCAGGAGGGGGCGCGAACCGACGCGGCGGCGCCGGAAGCTTGCAACTTTGCAAGCTGGTCGAACAACTTGCAGGGTCAATGGGACTGGGGATGCAATCTTGCTTGCGCGGCTTGGTCTCCTTCTTAGGAAAAGGGGGGTCGTTGGAGCTGGAGAAGACGGCCAACGACCCAGAAATTTAGTCGGATATCGAGCCGTATTCCGCACGCCTGGAATTCCGTGGGCTCTACGCAGAGTCAAGACAGTTGCATCTCTGGCTCGTTGGAAAGGAATATATTGGTTAAGCGATGTCGAGCCGATGGGACCATTGAAACGAAAGGTCTCCGATGGCGGTGGCGGCGTCGAACCTAGGGACTGGAAGAAGACGCAATATTCGTGCCGGGAAGAACCAGACAAAGTTGCTGTCTGGGCTTGGGTTCTTCAGTTGCGCGAACAGACAATGGGTAACGATCCGCTTCCCGTGGTGATATCCGAGAGCTAACAACAGGCCAGGGAAGGGAGCCACCACGAATGGGACCAATAACCGTATTTGACATCGCCTCTCCTCACGGGGGTCCCACGGTGTAATAATGGAATTGGCTGGCCATGATGAGAGAACGAACAGGGTGGTCTGCTGGGGTCGCGAGGCCTTCAAGCCTTGCGCCGTAAACTAGTGGGTTCCGCGGCACAGCAGGTGCAGATGCAGCTGCAGCGCAGCGGACGCGAGGCGCGAAATCCAACGTCCAACAGCCTCGACTGTGATTCCGCTGTGACTGTGCCTCTGACCTGCGTCTAATACTTGTTCCACGAAAGCTCTGCGGGTACCACTTGACGGTTGGCGCTTGGCGATTGACATTCGCCTACGGGCCACTTGTACGTGTTCCGTGGTTGACTTGTCGCAGGCCATTTGTGCCTGATCGACAGGTACTTCATGTGCGCGCAACATGGCAAACGACGTGGGCTGTGCATGGCTGTCGACAACGAACCTCGGAAGGTTTGAGTCAAGTATCAGTGGTTCAGTGTCTCAAGAGGATGAACGTCAGGGCCGCGTTCTGAGAAACCGGGGCTGGAATGTTCCAAGGGCTGCATGAATCTCTCCGCCAGCAGCCGGAAGACTGAAAATGCAAATGCAAAGCTCAGGCCCCCTCAGCAAGGCACGGTTGACGGCAGCCGGCAGTTCGAGAGTCGAGGAACCGAATGATTCGGACAGGCTCAGTGCCAGGGAATTCCTTCTGCGATGGGCGCACACAGTCTCTCGAAGGATTGACAACTGTCGGCACATCTGGTGCTGGCGGGCTGTACAGGTTTTGGTAAGAGATTGACGGCCGGGTTGACAGCGGACTGTGCTGCTGTCAGGCGATTTAGTTGCGACCCCCTGACTTTGTGCTCTGGGATGGAAGTCCGGGCGTTGATTGGCAAGCGGCAGACGGAACAATTCTCGAGGAAAAGAAAGGCATCAGCAGGTCGAGGACCGAGGACGAGACGTTGCGGCAGGCACATGGATGCGAGGCCTCTCTGTGCGCGCTGGCAACGGCCAAACAATAAGCCCGTGTAAAGCGTTCAAGGACGAGACATGTGCGCAGGTCCTGTGAGTACAGCAGCAACGTCAGGATTGTGTCTTGGGCACCCGTTTTGTGCAATGAGGGTAAGTCCGTACGGGCGCAAAGCTTGTGCAAGAGAGCTGGCTGACCACCGAAGCTACCCATACTTTGTCAGGTAAGATCCGTACTTGTCTTGTTCTCAAGATTGCGCGCCGGGTGCTTGCGGTGGACGTGGTCCGTGACGAGTGCAATTGACCAGGTCAACACGAGGCACGCCGCAGCGAGGGGAAACTGGAGTATCCGTACCGCACCGTACCGTAGATAGCCATAGTAGTTGGCACGAGTAAACAAGACGATACGATAACGGCGAGTGACGGCAGGTGACGAGGACTGCGATCAGCGCAGCCAGGAAATTGCGGGCTGTCGGTTGGAGAAGATCCTATTCGACGGTGATGCTTGAGAATGGTTGACGGCCGGCCAGCTTGGAGGACCAACGCGGGTTAGTGGGCGAACTTCGAAGGTCCCCTTCCCCCCTGGGGACTTGCTCGACCGGGACCCCTGGAAAGAACAGCTGTTAGCGTCTTTCCGGTGCAAATGGCTCCCCCCACTTCTCGCTCCCCAAAGGGCAGCGGTGGGTCCACGGCGTCCCAACTGAGGACATCCCCAGCCCGTCCCTCCAAGTCTTCCCGGATGTCTTGAATCCTTCCTGTTGGTGCTAGCGAAGCAGGGTTCATCGTGGGCGCAATTTGAGTGCCTACACTTTATCCGTACAGAGTGGAGAAAAAATCACTTGCCTGCCAGAAGGGAGAACCTGAGGCGCCGAGATCGTGGCGGATGAGCGATAATCTATCTGGGTTGATCCCATCGGCGCCCGTTTCACCGTGGGCTTTTGTTTCTTGCTAAAATCTGCGGCTGTTGATCCGTACGTGGATGCCTGTACCTGCGATGCCGTCCGGAGATTCACACGATTCACATCACCCTCTTCACAGTTACACTGCAGTTAGGTTCCCTATGAGGAAAAGTGGAGAGGGCTGACGAAGAGATGCCTGATTTTAGGAGGTGAGGTAGGCACGATGCACGGAGGTACATCCAGACTCGCTGTTGCCCGTTGTTTTAATGAGAGAGCAGAATGCAGAAGGAAGGAGGAGCTCTGTCGAGTCTCGAGTGTCGACAAGGAGTCGTCCCTCAGCCGAATTGCACAAAGACGGCAAGAGCGGACTGCCCACGTGTTGTGGGAAGACGGACTCGCGCCTGCCCGTTGAATATGCAACTGCAAGTGCATCCTTCCTTGCTCCTTCTGAAAACCTCCCAATCGGCGTCTTTGTTGTTGCTGTTGAAAAGACCCTTCCTGCGGCCGGTTTTCTTTTTCTCCCAATGATCGGCCTGACATGACTCCAGCCGGTTTCCGTCTTTGGCCAGTGTAAGAAGAGCTAGCAGAACTCTGCAGCGGCAAGTCTTCGTACGCCATCCGGCGCGCGAACTGCTGCTGCCGCTGCTAACTTAGCGCACCTTAGACCCCAATGCCGCAGCACCAAGTTTTTCTGCTCGCAATCTCGTCGCCCCTTGGCTTTCGTGGTCAGTGGCTTGCGTGGGATGAAGTTTTGAAAGCATATGTACTTCGCTGCGTCAAGTTGGAGCGATGCCGTGCTCCGGGCTGTACGATGGAGCACACCAGCCTCAGAGATGGAGAGGGGGCCGCTGGGGCCGAACAAGCTCATATCGCCTTATTAAACATAATCAAAAGCCGGCTGCAAGACCTCGCGGTTTTGGACGACAGATGTAACGGCGCCATCAACAGAAAACAACAGCCGGCCTGGGCCACGACTACCGCCTCGCACTTGCCCCCGCCCTTTCATTTGCTCTTGGTCTGACAGCCTCGTGCACGCGTGTCGGTCCAACTCGGATGCAGGTCGTGTCCTTGGATGTTGGCAATTGCTGGTCTTGGCCTTTTGTTGAACGACCTACAGACGTAAGGTAAGCAATGGAGAAACAGGAGTCCTCTCGGGGCTGGACCGTTGCCGTTGGCCGCCGCCTCCTCTTGTTGGATGATTTGATCTAAATGGTCGCCTGTGCCTGGACCTAATTTATCCCCTTGCCATCCGGTTGAGTCTCTTGTCTCCTCCCATTTGACAACCTGGCTCGACTACGTACCTCTCTCTGTGCCCGACCTAATCTAGCTAATCTCGTAGACCAGGGCTCATGATCCCATCACATTGCATCTGCGGCCTGGCTGTTGCCAATGCTGAAAAGCCTACCTAGCACAAAGCAGCTCCTCCTGCGCTTCAGGCACAGGCATAGGCTCAGCTTGCACTTCACTTCCCTTCTCAGTGCACATCGTCTCCATCACGCTCACCTGCCTGCACTGGCCCGTGTCCGTGTCGTTGCATGTGGAGTTGCGCCCAACTAAATCGTACATTACCTGTGTGATCACTCTGCCTCCATGGATCATGTCCCCATTCCCACTTTGAGAGTCGTTCACCCCGGCCTTACCCTACCTACCTTAGTGCTGTCCATCCCATGCTCCTCACCCTGGCCCTTCCCCTTGTTCCCATCCCATCTCAGCCTGTCCCATGCTTGAAATGACTGAATGGCCTGGCGCCGCGCACCCGGGTGTTCACTCTCTCCTTTGCGCCTCGACTCGTACCTCTCGACACCCTCAAGGAACTCTTCCTCCTTCTCTCACTCTCCTTCGAGTCGAGCCGAGTCCTGCCCTCCGTGCGCTGCCATTGATCCTCCAATTGGCCTCGGATGTAGCTGTCTGTCTTGTCCCTCCTCATTGTTGGGATACACGTCCTACCTGCTGCTGCTGCACCACCGATTCTCGCGCCCCCGAGCCCGTTCCAAGTCGCCACTTCACTGTTGGCACTTGTTGTACTCCGTCGAGTCCCTTTTCCCTTTTTTCGCCATTGCCCGTCTTTCAGCCCGACGGCGCGCCGTTGCTTTTCCAACAGCGACTTGTTTCTAAAATTTCCGATACACTATCGACCCTCCAATCTACCGCTCTCTGTAAGTCATTCTGTTTTGTCTCAGAAGAGCTTGGGGTCTTGCGGCCGATCGCCGCCGCGGGAGAAGCTTCAGAAGAAGAAAGAGGGAAGGAGGTCCGGGAGGAAGAGGCTGACCACAATCTCCCCCCCGCCAGACCAGACCAAACACACCAAAACCACCACCAATTCAAGCCTCTCCGCCTTCTCGCGCATTTCTCCAGACCAACGTTTCTTCTCAACTAAAACCCACCATTTATCTATAAAAGTAATTTGTACATCGCCTCCCGCGCCCAACTCGAACCGAACCGAGGTCCTTTTCCTCGCTCACTGCCGCCCTTCCTTCCCGCAGTCGCATTTCTTACCATCTACCTCCAAACTCAATTTCAAACGACATGTCGACTTATTAGAGATCGATAACAAAACGGCCGCCGACTCACTACGACTTTGCGAGACGTTGTCATCCGTTCTTACGACTGCCGGTTCTTCGATTTCTCCTTTGTCTGCGACGTTGATTTCGGGCTTCGAAAGCCAACCAGTTTCACACTTGATTTCTGTCCCTATATCTCTCCGTTCTTAAGGTGGGCATCCCTTCCCCCAAACAGCTCCCGAACATCCCTCCCTGGTTCCGTTATACCAACTTATACCACATGGGTTCCAAGGATTTCAAGCTAAGTCGACTCTTTTATCTTCCAGAAACGGCACACTTGAGCGAACCTCTCCTTATTTCTTCTGTCTAATTCGGCTTGAGCCGTCACCTATCACCTTTTCAAAAAGCAAACTGCTGCTGCGCCCGTGACGCAACAGTAGCACCTCCGCCAACAACGTCTTTCTCTGGTGAGTTTCACCAACTGCAGTTCATGCATCTTCCTTGCCGCAGCTCTCGGCGTCTCCCCCCTTCGATGTGCCTCTCCCGTAGCACTGAACACTAAACTAACTCGTCAGTTCAGTGGGGTTTGGATAGCGTCAATGCACCCGTGATTGCGCGGTCGGACTGCTCCTCCAGCGCCTGTCATTTCCACCGTCGGCAAGGATCCCTGGGGCTCACCTGTGTGCTTTGATCCCC